AAATTTCTGGATCCGTGGGGACACCTGAGAGCCAGAAGACATGGCTCCACAGGCTGGATATGTCTGAGGCCTGGGGGTTGAGCAGCCCTGTTATAGATCAGATAAATCAGATATATACGCAAAAGCTAAATCAGATATATACACAAAAGCTTATGCTACACACCCATTCACACACACACACACAAATACATATCTATCTATCTAGCATAAGCTTTTGTGTATATATATGATTTAGTATATATAACTAGCATGTGTTTGTGTGTGTGCATGTATATATCTAGCATCATCTTTAGTACATATATCGATTTTTATATATGTATATGTATATGTATATATCTAACATAAGCTTTTGTGAGGCTAAGTTCACTTCATCAGATGCTGTGAAAGGACATAAACAGAACAGTGTATGAAATGGAGGGAATGATTTAAATGTAAAAGGTAGGAAGGGAGGGTAGGAAAGGGGGCAATCCCAAAAAAGGGAAACAAGCAAGCAGTAAACCTGTAGGAACAAATTGATCACAAAACCTAATCCAGGTAATGGGATAAGAATCTACAGTCCCTGTTTAAGTTATACTTAACACAGTCCAGTCTGTGGATGTTTTCTTGTTTCACAGGTTCCTGTTCAAATCAGTTTTTAAAGGTTTGCTACCTAAGAACAGTTATCCTGATGTCAGCGATGGAGTGTCCAGGGAGGTTCAAGTGTTGTACCACAAGCTTTGTGTATTTCTAGACGTGATGTCCAATTGGTGTCCATTCATCCTTCACATATGAATTGCCTCATCTGTCCAATATAGACAGCAGAGGGCCACTGTAAACAAGTAATGGCATACATGGCTTGGTAGAACTGTAGGTAAATGAACCTCAGATGTTATAATCTGTTATTTGGTCCAGTGATAATGTGGTCTGTATTGATAAGGGAACAGAACTGTCATCTGGATCTGGATCAAGACCTGTGTCTCAGTGAGAATGTGAGTTAGGTAGCCTGTTGCTTGAGAGATGCTGTTTAAAGTTGGGGTGGTTGTCCGTGAGGACAGGTTTGTCCCTCATGGCTACCTTGAGATGGCTGTCTTTTTGCAGGAAGGCTTGGAGGTCATTAATGATGTGTCTAAGGTGTTCAAGGTTGTAGGTGACAGCCATAGGGATTCTGTTGTGTCCTGGGGCTGGTATTGTAGCAGGTCAGAACGAAGTCTGGGTCTGACTTTGTTGATTTGCATGGCTACAGTTTTGGTATTGTATTGTAATGGTAGAAATCTTTGCTCCAGGTCCTTAAATTAAAACTATTTAACATATTTATATGATTTAAAATAATTTAAAATGTCTTTAATAGAAGGCTCAAATGCATATTGTTTTTAAACTTTACACTTCCATACCAGTTTTTACACGGAGATTTGTAGGCACTTACTGAACAATAACAAATTAAGTTCACAAGGTTCAGCTAGATAGGGTAGGTAAGTGGCTTATCCAAGTAAATAAGTGCCACAGCTAAGAATACAACCCAAAAGTTTATCCCCTGATATGAATACTAGAGAGCATGCTGCACTGCTCCTCAGGTACTTCAGCCCCTCATCACTCTATATCTTATGTAAAAATCAGAGGTGCAGAAGAGAACACAAGAACTGAAGAATGAGTGGTGGACTCAGAAATCAAAAGAAATCCAATATTTTGCTGACATTCATGACATTTGTGGCTTCTTCAGCGCTACCAAGGCTGTCTACGGCCCTAGCACTCAAGGCTTTAATCTTCTAAGATCAAAGGATGGAACAACACTCCTGAAAAACAGTGAATCCATCAATGCTCGCTGGAAAGAACATTTCCAGGACCTTCTGAATCATGACTCAACTGTAGATGAAGATAAGATCAACAATTTTCCGCAAAAAACAATCAGAGAAGACCTTGGTTTGCCACATACCCTGGCAAAGACCGGGAATGCCATCCGGAAAATGAAGAATAATAAGGCAGCCAGTGTTGACGGAACACCTGCAGAGATTTTCAAAGGAGGAGAACAACTTATGTGTCAGCTTCATGTCCTCATCCTTAAAATCTCGAACACAGAAGAAATCCCAGCTGACCTAAGGGATGCCTTGATTGTTACAATCATCAAGACGTGGGACAGAGCTGATTGTAGAAACCATCAAGGCATCTCATTGTTGGCCACTGCTGGGAAAGTCATTGCTTGTATCCTCACTAACTGCCTTCTCCCACTGCTGAAAAAATTCTTCCAGAATCTCAAAGTGGCTTCAGACCATCTCAAGAAACTGCAGACATGATATTTACAGCACATTAAATCTAGGGGAAGTGTCGTGAGCAAAATCAACCTCTCTATTTGGCCTTCATCGACCTCTCTAAAGCCTGCAATTCTGTAAACTGTGAAGACCTATGGAAAATCTTGTCCAAAATTAGCTGCCCAAACAAGTTCATCGGTGTTCTGAGACTTCTCCATGACAACATGTCAGCGAGGGTTCTCAGCAACAGGAATCAAACAGAACCATTTGAGGTGAAAACTGGAGTGAAGCAAGGTTGTGTCATTGATCCAACTTTGTTTTCCATCTTCATCTCCACCATAATTCACCTTGTTGACAGAAAGCTCCCACCTGGAATTGAAATTGTTTACAGGATGGACAGAAGACACTTCAACCTCAACAGACTCAAGTCCAAAACAAAGACCATGACAACATCTGTAACAGAGGTACAGTATGCAGATGACAATGCTGTCATTGCTCAATCTGAAACAGGCCTCCAAACCATTCTTAATGTATTCTCAGAAGTCTACAAGACTATTGGCCAAACTTTAAACATCAGGAAAATGCAAGTCCTTTCCCAACCTGCTCCAAATGGAGACCCCCCCCCATTCAAATCAACAGAGAATTGCTGAAGAACGTGGATCACTTTGCCTATCTTGGAAGCCATCTTTCATCAAAGGCAGACATCGACACAGAAATACAGCACTGCTTAAAATATGTGAGCACAGCCTTTGGATGTCTGAGTAAGAGAGTATTCTTAAATCATGACATCCTTGCTGCAACAAAGTTCTTGGTTTATCGAGCTATTGTCATTCCAACTCTCCTGTATGGCTCAGAAACTTGGACCACATACAGAAGACATCTCAAGAGCTTGGAAAAGTACCAACAATGGTGCCTTTGCAAGATCCTTTGGATTAACTGGGAGGATAGATGCACAAACATCAACGTCTTGGCTGAAGCAAATTCCAACAGCATTGAGGGCATGATCATCCAAAACCAACTTTGATGGACAGGTCGTGTTGTTCATATGCCTGACTCCCATCTTCCAAAGAGAATCTTTTTCTCACAGCTGAAAGAAAGTCAGCATAGTAGTGGAGGGCAAAGAAAGTGCTTCAAAGACACCCTGAAGGCAAACATGAAGAGGTGTAACATCACCATCAACATTTGGGAGACCCTTGCTCAGGACTGACCAAAATGGAGGAAGGCTCTTTGGGAGGGACCTCAACACTTTGAGACAGCTTGTCAACAGGCAGAAGAGGAAAAGAGGAACAGGTGAAAAGAACATCAGAACATCCAATGCAGCAACACAGAGCCCATCCCTCCTGGAAACACCTGTCTTTACTGTGACAAAACATGTGGATCTAGAATTGGGCTATGGAGCCACGTGCAGACTCACTATTAAGATCCAATCTTACTTGTTCACGAGTGATTGCCCATCATCTTACTTAAAATATTATATGCAGAAATGGAGAGAGAAAAAGGACATAATTTTATTCTAATTTTTCCTCCTCAGTCTCTCACACTCACAGCCCTACTGACAGAATGTATAACCAGGAAGCTTCCGTGTTTCCCTGTGGAATTGCAAAAGAAGAAGAATCATATGTAAGAAAGTCAGTACCTTTCAACATCAAGTTAAAAATCTAGAGAAAAACAAACCACTTTTAGGTCCCAAATTCCAGGACACAGTCCCAGATCCTAGACAGATGCAACAACCATTACATACCTCAGGAAGCAGAAGTAATCTATGCCTCTTCTAGTCCTAGGTAGTGTAGCTGTCTTAGTGCAGCACTGTGACCGAACTAATTAGTTCTGTCTGTGACTAATTATCTTGGATGCAGCATTTTATGAGCTAATTAGCTTACATGGAACAGCATGGCAACCAAGCAAGGTACTGTTTGGCATTACAGGAATGTTTGAGAAGGGTTTGTTCAATTTGGGGATAAAACTCACTTCAGGGACTCTGTGGAGACACCAGGACACAGCTCTGAAATTTGAGACAGTCTGGAAAATTCACAATAGTAATTCAGGTTAATGAAGCTCTCAGTTCATTGTGCGTCTTCCAAGGGCACACTGAGGAAGGAGAGAGGGGCAGCAATGGGAAGCTGGCCTAGAATAGGAGTATAGTAATAAAATCCATCCCTAGTCCTCTCTTTGCTGGAGTTGGCTAAAGCATCCCCCAAAGTAAGCAGAGCCAGGGAATAGGCTCCAGTTTGAAATGAAGGAATCACTCCTAGTACTGGGAAAATAAACTGACTCCTCTTATGCCAGATAATATGACTTCTCTTTGTCCTTGCTTCCTCTATTGGGAAAAAAAGTGAAGGTGCCACCCATAACCATGCTGTGGACTTCTATGTATGTCTACACAGAGCAGTCCTCCTGTTTCACACTAGGCCATGTTTTTTTCTAGGTCATAATACAAGGCATCATTCATACTATAGGGTGATGATAAAAAGAACTTAAGTATCAGTGTGCTGTTGTGTTTAGTCCTGAGGTCTGTAGCCACAATACAGTAATATAAGAGCTCAGAAGACAAAGTGACCTGTCAATATGAGAAGACTAAAATGTGCCATGCCCCTTCCAGGATTTGCTTTATCAATATGAACAGACTCTCCCACAGGAGTTAAGTCATATTGACTTAGCCACAGGGAGGAGGGGACGGTGGCAAGAGATTGTATTAAATTTTAACCAGTCTTTAAATAATGGTTTTTGAAATCAATAATATAGGTCCTGAACCCTTGGCTTCTTTAATTGCACTTGGTTCCACTGCAGACACTGTTGAGATGAAGCTTTACTTCTTTGTTTTTACCCTAGCTTTATACATTCAGCAGAAATATGTCCTCACTCTTCAAAGGTAACCAATTTACTGCTGCTATTTGTATGCTAGTGTGAGGGGCAGGGAAGACTTCCTGACTGAAGCAAGATAACCGGGAGTGCTATTAACAAACATTTGACAAAGGTCTTCAATTATTTATTGCTTTTGTAATTGGATATGTAGTTCAATATAATATATAGATGATGTATGCAATGAAATTATTATAGGTTTTCTTTGTGACGATAAATCTTATGTTTTTAATCATATTAAGATATTCTTTTTGAGCTAAGTGCAAATCAATTCTGTTCATTTGATGCTTTGGAATGCCAATAAATGGCATCCTAAATCAGAAAAATAATTTGCTCTGTTTGCCCTAAAACAAGGCCTTAAATGAATTACTTCTTGAGGTGGAGATAGAAACCATTTCTGAAAGTGCTAACAATCTGTTGTCTTTCTGAAACTGTTTTTATGATTGTTTTTCCTGCCATAATTCATTTTAAAAATAACAATTCGTACTTGTCAAATGTCTTAAAAGCCACTTTATTGTCACCTATTGATAAGCTTCAGAAATGCCTAGAAACTAAAAAGCTTTGTTAAAAACATGAAAACATGTGCCATGAAAGGAGACAAAGAGTCTGTATTTTCTAATAATCATTAGATTTTAAAATCTGAAATGTGGTAATAAAAGATAGAAAATTTTGTAACAATGTTGAACAAACCCAGGGACAACCATAATAATGAATATATAGTACCTACTATTGTCGGATCCCCAACCATTACGGAAAGATGAACTAAGCCTATTATGTGGCTTGCTCAGATACACACATAAGTCAGTGGTAGAACTGAGTTCAGAATTGAGTCCAGTTTATTTAGGTCTCTAAACACTTGGACGTATGTTTTAAACAGAGGATTGTTTATCTTGTCTTGTATTTTAATCAGATTTTGCAAGTTACCAAAATACAGATTAGCTTTGTGTAAAATAGGGAGAGAGAGGAATGGATTCATAGAAATAAACTTTGGGGGTGAATTAAGTGGAGCGATACTGATTTACACCAGTTGAAAATTTGTCTTTTAATATTTAAACAAAACATTTAGGATTTGACCTGGTCAGCAGAAATGCCATATTGCCAGCTCCAAGCAAGCAAAAAACCACAAGTCAGCCTTCCCACCTAAAGTCAAAAGATTGGCTCATGACAAAATCATGAGATTGGCTGAAAAATCATACTTAAAAGCTCATAAATTTGCACCAGTATTTGACTATTAGCGCTGAAGCAATCAGGATACATGATTACAACATTCCTTCTGCAGCTACAAAGACTATATAGCATTTGATGAAGCAAGCTCTTGCTCACAAAAGCTTATGAATCTCTGATTCAGCTAGTCTATAAGGTGCCTCTCTGCCCTGCCTTCTATGAAGACTGTAAGTTAAATCTGGCATCTATAAGAATAATTTAATTTATTGCAAAAGTCTGAATAAAGTTGTGAGGCTTGCTAAAGCTTATCAAACCATTTAAGAAAAGGGAGAAGGCTTACAAGTGGGGAACAGACTCCTCTACTTGTAACTTTGTTCTCCACCCACATGGAACCTTAAATATCATGGTTTCTTGTCATGGAGAAAAGTTTGATGTGCTAAGGGAAAAGCTACGAAGAGTGATGGAAAGAAAGGCACATGTTGAATGGAACTAAGGGCATTCATAGCTTCCAGAAAGAATCAGTAACAAATTCCAGGTCACTATTATTATTATTATTATTGTTATTATTATTATTGTTGTTATTATTATTTTAAAATACATTTTGCAATACCCTGCCAACTGGGAGCCCTGGTCATAGCAGGACCCCATTGAAATAGGAGCTGTACAAACATACAACAAAAGCCTGTCCCTGTCCTGGATGGCTTTACAATCTAAGTATCAGCAAGAGAATACAGACAGATACAGACAGGTACACAGAGGAATTTGAGGAAACAACAAAACAGGATTGGTCAGCATGACAAGCATAAGAACAGTATGTGTCAAAGGCAGCTGACAGGTCAAGAAGGTTGAAGATGGCATGATGGCCCTGAGATTGGGTTAAAAAGGACCGTTAGAGCCTTTAGTAAAAAAGAAGCTCAGTGAAGTGCGAAGGTCAGAAGCTACATTGGAGAGGATGAAAGACTGAATTGGGAGACAGAAACAGAGAGTGAGCAGCACAGGCGTCACTATGTTGCAGACCATGGCATCTCAAACTTGGTTGCTGCAGGAGATACAGAACTCAGTTTTCCTGCTTATCAAGGTAAAGCACCTCTGAAGTAAGTTATAACAGAATCCCACTGAACCTGAGGCTTTGTTACTGACTACTGCATATCAAAATGACACTGTTATGCATATGCTACTGTATTTTAAAGTACTATCAGTAGTCAAACTACAACAACAAATTACCAAAATTAATTCTGTGATGCACTAGCATTGGGTTGGTTTGTTTTCTTTTTTTTGAGTGTGAGATGCCTGCAGGTAAAAGCGCTGCTCAACCTGGTACTGGCAGCAGAGGATGACCTAATCAGCAACCTAACAATCGAAGGGAAGCTAGGTGACAGTGACCACGAGCTGATCACCTTCACCATCTGCCGGTAAGCTGGCAAGTCACTATACAGAAGTCCTCAACTTCAGGAAAGCTGACTCTGACAAGCTCACGAGGCTTGTCAGTAAGGCCCCAAAGGACCACAACCCAAAGGGGAGGGGAGTTCAGGATGAGTAGCTGCTCCACAAGGGAGCGATCCTGGATGCACAAGCTAAGTCTATTCCATCTTGGAGGAAAGGCAGCAAAAGGGCACAGCAGCCCCCTTGGCTCTGCAGGGAACTAGCAGACCTCCTGCATCTAAAAAGAAAGGCCTTCAAAGGATGGAGGACGGGATCCACCTCCAAGGAGGAATATTCTGCACTGGTCCAGACCTGCAGGGAGCAAACCAGGAAAGCCAAGGCTGCAACTGAACTCCAACTAGCTACAAGTATCAAGGACAATAAAAAGTCCTTTTTTAGATATGTGGGGAGCCAGAGGAAAAGCAAGAGTAACATTGGACCCCTGCTAAACCAGATGGGACAACTGACATCCAACACTCAGGAAAAAGCCAACTTGCTAAATGGGTGCTTTGCATCGGTCTTTCATCAGTCCCAAGGGACACCCCTGCCCATTATGGGACAGGAAAGCCTGGGTGAGGGAGATTCCTTACACTCCATCAATGCTGACCTTGTGAAGGAACACCTTGGGAGGCTGGATACCTTCAAGTCAGCCGACCCTGACAGTTTACACCCCAGGGTACTCAAGGGGCAAGCATCATAGCCCAGCCCCTGGCACGGATCTTCAAGAACTCGTGGTGCTCAGGTGAAGTGCCCAAAGATTGGAAGGAGGCCAGTGTCGTGCCAATCTTCAAGAAAAGGAGGAAAGTAGATCTGGCAAACTACAGGCCCATCAGCCTGACCTCTATCCTGGGGAAGGTCTTGGAAAAGATTATCAAAGGGGCCATCCTTAACAGACTAGCTGATGGCAATATCCTGAGAGATAGCCAGCATGGGTTTGTTGCAGGTAGGTCATGCTTGACCAATCTCATTTCCTTTTATGACCAGGTGACCTATCACCTGGACAAGGGAGAGGAGATTAATGTCATATATTTTTACTTTAAAAAAGCCTTCAATCTGGTATCCCATGATCACCTCTTAGCAAAACTGGCCAACTGTGGCCTCAGCTTCACCATGATCTGCTGGCTGGGGAATTGGCTCCGGGGCCGGTCCCAGAAGGTAGTAGTTGATGGAAGTCAATCATCGTGGTGCGCTGTGACTAGTGGGGTCCATCAAGGCTCTGTCCTTGGGCCTATATTATTCAACATCTTCATTAATGATGTGGACAATGGAGTCAGAAGCGGACTGGCCAAGTTTGCTGATGACACCAAACTTTGGGGTAAAGCGTCCACACCTGAGGACAGGAAGGCAATCCAGGCTGACCTTGACAGGCTCAGGAAATGGGCATACGAGAACCTGATGGTGTTTAACACCGAAAAATGCAAGGTTCTTCACCTTAGGAAGAAAAACCTGCAGCATGCTTATAGGCTCGGCAGTGCTACACTGGCTAGCACTAAGGACGAAAGGGATTTGGGGGTCATGATTGACCACAAGATGAACATGAGCCATCAGTGTGATGCTGCAGCTAGTAAAGCGAGCAAAATGCTGGCTTGCATCCATAGATGCTTCTCAAGCAAATCCCAGGACGTCATTCTCCCATTGTACTCAGCCTTGGTGAGGCCGCAGCTGGAGTACTGCGTCCAGTTTTGGACGCAGTACACAATTCAAAAAGGATGTGGAGAAGCTTGAGAGAGTCCAGAGAGCCCCACACATGATCAGAGGTCAGGAAAACATACCTTATGATGAGAAGCTGAGAGCTATGGGACTCTTCAGCCTGGAAAAGCACAGGCTCAGAGGCAATCTGATGGCTGCCTATAAGTTTATAAGGGGTACTTACCAGGATCTGGGGAAACATCTGTTCACCAGAGCACCCCAAGGGATGACAAGGTCAAATGGTCACAAACTCCTCCAGGCCCATTTCAGGCTGGATATACGGAAGAACTTCTTTACTGTCCGAGCCCCCAAGGTCTGGAATAGACTGCCGCTGTAGGTGGTTCAAGCACCTACTTTGAACACCTTCAAGAGACATTTGGATGTTTATCTTGCTGGGATCCTATGACCCCTGCTGAGTTCCTGCCCCTGGGGCAGAGGGCTGGACTCAAAGATCTTCCAAGGTCCCTTCCAGCCTAATGTCTACGAAATCTATGAAATCTCTGATCACTTCACCTGCACTGGGCCAATTAATCCTTTTTAGTTCAACATTGGATACTCAAACAAGAAATCAAAAAGAAGTAGAAATGGGAAAGAAAGTGTAAAGGAACACTAGTTTCAGAGTGGCAAGGCTAAGAATACTGATACCAAGCTGGACCAATATCATGGAAAGCCAAAACAGATTAGGACCAGAGTCTTAAAGTGTCTACCCAGGTTGTGACAGGTGGCGACTCCCAA